CAGGATTAAATTCCCAAAGGAAGAGCCTACTTTATAATGTTAGGTTTTATATATTGGACTTATCGCTTGTCCTGAAGGTAGAATTTTGGGAAATCACTGCTTTAGTGGAAATTTTAAGGTTTGACCTCTCTGCTTTGATTTGTGTGATCTGGGGCTAAAATCTTGGAACCAGGGCTAGCTTGGCTTCATTGGGTGTTCAGGGCCCCAAACTTGGTTTAATAATCTGTGTAAAACTTGTACAATATAAAGGTGAACAGTAAAATTCATGCTAATAATTTAAGTTTTAAATTTTTCTTTACTTAGAATGAATTAAACAGCAAATACACACCATGATAAGTGGAGATAGACGATAGAAAAAAGGAGAAAGCTTTATGTCTTAGTATCTTTAATGATACTTTCTTCCTGCTCTGAACAAGGGGCCCTGCATATTCATTTTTGCCCTGGACCCCTAAAATTATGTAGCTAGCCTGTTGTCAAGATTGCCCTTTCTCAGTGTAAATGTTTTGAGAATGAATAACATTACCTGTGAGGAGAATGAATCTTTAGCTTATGAGGGGTTGAATTAATTTATTGGCATATATCTCCTCTGAATTGGAATGCTGTACCTTGTGACAGGTTGTTGTTGTTTTTTTCATTGAAGATAAATGAAAGATAGTCATTGATAAAACATTGTAGGGTGGTTGGTTAAACTCGAAGGCTCTGATGTCAGGCAGACCCAGCTCTATCACTAATTAAGAATTAATTATAGCCATGGGCAACTTAACCTCTGAGCTTTGGTTTTTCTTGTCTTTAAATCAGGGGTAGTTACAGAATATGGAGGGTTGTGAGGATTAAATTTATCTATTCATCCAACAAATATATATATATATATACATATATATATATATATATGTGTGTGTGTGTGTGTGTGTGTGTGTGTGTATGCATATATATATATTTGTTATTGATTTCAGAGAGGAAGGGAGAGGGAGAGAGAGATAGAAACATCAATGATGAGAATCATTGATCGGCTGCTTCTTGCACACCCCCAATTGGAATTGAACTCGGGACCCTTCAGTCCTCAGGCCGACGCTCTATCCACTGAGTAAAACGGGCTAGGGCTCCAACAAATAGTTCTTTTATTTTATTTTTTTGATTGGTTGTTTTTTCTTTTTTTAAAAAATATATCTTTATTGATTTCAGAGAGGAAGGGAGAAGGAGAGAGAGATAGAAACATCAATGATGAGAGAGAACCACTGATTGGCTGCCTCCTGCATGTCCCCTATTGGGGATCAAGCCTGCAACCCAGGCATGTGCTGTCAACCGGAATCGAACCTGGGACCCTTCAGTCCGCAGGCTGACGCTCTATCCACTGAGCCAAACCAGCTAGGGCAACAAATATTTCTTAAGCATTTATTATGTGCCAAGTGCTGTTCTTTCTAGGTTCTGGGGATACAACAGTCAATGAAACAAAACAATTTTAATATACTAAGAGGAAAAATTAAGCAGAAAAAGAATGTGGGGATTTTCTGGTTGATGGGGCATATAGGAGGTTTTCTTATTTTCTTTTTTATATGTTTTTTATTGATTTGAGAGAGCGAGAGAGAGAATGAGAGAATCATCGATACGACATGAGAGAGAAATGCTTCCTGAAACAACTTCTGTATGCACCCTGCCCAGGGATCAATCCTGCAACCTAGGTGTGTACCCTGACCAGGAATCAGACTCGCAACCTTTCCGTGCATGGGATGACACTCAACCAACTGAGCTATGCTGGGCAGGGCTGGGAGGCTTTTTTTTTTTTAATTTTAAAGAGGGGGTTAGGGGAATTTTACTGTTCACCTTTATATTGTCAACTCAGTGTTCAGGAAAATCCTGAAGGGAGCCATGTATACCAGTATTTCGGGATGGAGTGATTCAAGCAGAGGGAAAGGCAGAGGCCTTAAGGTGGGCTTGTGGCTGGTTTTCAAGAAACAGCAAAAAGGCCAGTGTATCTGGAGCAGGATGGACAAGGGAAAGTAATGGGAGATAATTATTATTGGTGTTTTAGGAATCATTCACTGGAGGGGCTCTCATAGTTCCTCTTTGCCTTGGGTATATGTTGTGTTGCTGTTGGTCCAAAAGTGGAAGGCCTTGTCAGAATTAGAAATTTTAACTTTGGAATAAAGAAATTGGAAAAGGCAAGATATTTCCTCAGATATTCTCCTAATATAAGACCTCTAAAACGCATCTGGCTAAATTATTAAAGCAAATAAGAACAGATAGAAAATTTGTTGTTTCTAATAAGATCATTGAATTAAGTTAATGATTTTGCATCATTTAAAGATTTGCAGGATATCGATATCATAACATTGAGACCTTCAGAAAGATTTAATTATTGTGGAGAACTAGAATGTTAACATTACTGTATCAATGATTTCAAGTTAGGATGTAAGTTAGAAGATTCAGGGTTTTATTCCCCAATAGAGGTTTTTCCTAGAATCCTCACTGGATCCAGTCTCTAAAGGCTGGGGAAGCTGTTTTCCATGACATCACCCTTGGATTACTTCTACTTGTAGTGAGGAATGAGCAGAGGAGCATTAAATTAAAATCTTCTGATGAAAAAAATAGCGTTGAAGCAGGAGTGGTTTTTATTCTTGCAAGGTTTCGTGTATTATAGGATGACTAAACGCTAAGCATACCTGAAAAGTGAAGTAATTTGGGTAATAGGTGCTAACCTGGAGGCTGAAGGACCCAGAGCCTCCCTAAAAGCTTAGTTAAACGGTCATTTGCAATTTGGTCTTGATCTATAAAAACATTTAGATGGATAAGGAAGAATTTCTAGTATTAAACAAATTAAAGTCAATTTACACAGCCTTTCCTCCCATATTAAACATATTTCTCAAATTGAGTATTATATCTGAGGGTAAAATGACTGCTAACAGAGCTAATGAAGTTAGTCTATTTTCAAAATTTTTCTGTCCTTTTAGATTGAGAAGCTGGCCTCTTTGAGATTGTTAAATTTAATAATTTTACTATATAGGTTACAGAAATTTTGAGAAATTTTATGAATCAGAAATTCTATTTTATCTGTAGTAATTCTTGCATTTGCTTTTTAGTATGAAAGTATGGCATTTTGTGCATAGGCATCAACTTGGGTAGACTAAGTTTGAGGATGAAGGTAATATGAAATAATTTAAATTTTTCATCGAAGATAGTATATCAACCTCTGAGAATCTAGCTTTTGTACTGGATAATTTAGGGTTTGTATGAATTTTCAAGCAGCTGTTGGGGACTGTGAAAGCATTAAATTATTGCTGATGGCATAAACATGGAGGTTAGTTAATTTTGAAACATCTATTGAATTGTGTAGAGTTTTGCCTTCAAATCAGAAAATCAGAATGGCAGCCTTCTAACTGAAAAGGAAGCATTTAATTCCTTTCCTTTTAATTTCCTGTCCCATTTTACCCCCACCAGACTTTTTTCTTTACTGGTCACTAGAGAGCTTGAACTGTTAGAAATTTCTGTGATATAAATAGCAGTAATAGTCTTCCAGGGCAGAGGTAGATTGGTGTAAGTGTGTGTGTTGTCATTTATCCCTTATCATTGTAACTGTCAGTTGTACTCAAAGCTTTTGGTCTCAGGACCTCGTTATACTCTTAAAAATTATTGGGGTTCCAAAGAGCTTTTGTGTATGTGGGTTGTACCTATATTTACCATAATAGAAATTTAAACTGAAAAATTAAAAAAAAACTCATTTGTAATTCATTTTAAAAAACCCTACTCGTTTATGTAAATAGCATAAAAGACAATGGGCTTCTTATCACTTCTGCATTCAATCTGTTATGGTATTACACATATAGCCTCTGGAAAACAGAATAAGTGAAAAAGGCAAATAACTTTAAAAATTATTATGAAAATAGTTTTGACCTTGCAAAGTCCTTTTAGGGGACTAGGACATCAGTTGTCCCTGGACCACACTTTGAGAATCACTATATTAATTGTTCTGAAGTGTAGAAAATGCGAGACTTTCTTTTTTCTCTCAGTTCCAAGTTTATGAAATAAGACAAACTCTTCTGTACTTCTTTCCTAGTAGTGTAAGAATACCTTGTCATTTAGTTTACCTTAATTTGGTTAACCCTTTTGGAAAACCTACCATTTCAAATTCTGAAGGACAAATATAGAATATATACATATACAGGTTTATAAACCATGATTTCCCTTATGTGATGATATATTTTGACAAGTGAGAATACAGCCCTGACTGGTTTGGCTCAGTGGATAGAGCGTCGGCCTGCGGACTGAAAGGTCCCAGGTTCGATTCCGGTCAAGGGCATGTACCTTGGTTGCGGGCACATCCCCCGTAGGTCTGCAGGAGGCAGGAGGCCGCTGATCGATGTTTCTCTCTCATCGATGTTTCTAACTCTCTATCCCTCTCCCTTCCTCTCTGTAAAAAAAACACCCAATAAAATATATTTAAAAAAAGAAAGAAAAGTGAGAATACAGAATTTCTGTACATTAAACATTTTATATGTTGGTAAGTATCTTTTCTCAAAGTCCCTTATGGATCTCCCCTCAGCCCTCATTGATTTATAGAGTTCGTTTTTCCCCATTGCTTTTCAGAGAGAGTGGAGGGGAGGGGGGAGAGCGAGAGCGAGCGAGAGAGAGAGAGAGAGAGAGAGAGGAGAGAGAAAGAAAGATGGATGTGAGAGACATGGATTGGTTGTCTCCTGCATTCAACCCAACCAGGGCTGGGGATCAGATGGAACCTGCAACCCAGGTATGTGCCCTTGAATGGGAATCAAACCTGGGACCCTTTGGTACTTGGGCCAACACTCTAACCACCTGGCAACACTGGCCAGGGTGATTGATAGAGTTCTTATTTGAGTTTTGTTTTCATTTTACAATTAGTTTTTATAATTATTTATTAAATTGCTGTAACTCTTTATTTAGAGAATTCTAATGCATAAGGTTTTGTATATTTTCTTTTTTATATTCTTACACTTTGCTTTTTCTAGTTCTTATTTTTTATTTGCTTGTGATATTTTAACTTAAGCTTCACTTTTTTCCCTTTTCTTTATAGCTTCCAAGGTTTGTATTGTGAACAAGTTGGTTGTTTCATGTGTTCATTTGTAAGTTTGATTGTTTGATGTCTTAAACATTGATGTTATAGATCTGTGCTGTCCAACCAAGTATAATGGAAGCCACATATGGAATTTAAAATTTTCTCATAGCCACAGTTTAAAAAAGTAAAAAACAAGTGAGTTTCATTTTAATATATTTTATTTAACCAAGTATATTCAAAGTATTTCAACATGTTTCCAGTATAAAATTTGTATAATGAGATATTTTATATTCTTTTTGGGGGGGATAAGTCTTCAAAATCTGTTCTCAATTTTTCAATTTGGACTAGCCACATTGGCTTCCATATTGAACAACACAGAGATAGAGGAGAGTAGCTGCTCTGCTTAGGGCAGAAAAGCCCAAGGAGCCTAGAAAAGCTAGAAAATTTTACTTGTGTGATGAGAAAAAATGGAAAACAATGTCACTGCAAAATGAGGCTGTGTTTTGACTACCAGTACATGTCCTAATCTCTCATAGACTTGTATTGTGATAAACTTTAGGGAGGTGTGGAGTCTATAGAGGGAAATTGGAGGGGTATCAAGTTACTATGGTCTTGTGGGTGATAAGGAGCATTAGGCAAGAGTTGGACAAGGGAAGCCAGCATTGATTGACCTCCAGTGGGTATCTTGCTTGAGGCTAGACATTTAACTTACCTTAATTCATTTAATTACCACCTCAACTTAAGATGATGATTATTATTCCTAATGGTGGAAACTGAGGTCAGGAAGTTAACTAAGTTTCTCCAGGTCACACAGGTGGTAAGTACTAGCAAGCTCTCTGATTTCAAAGCTTTTGCTCTTTCTAACCACAGTATTTTGTGTTTTTTAAAAAAATATATTTTTATTGATTTCAGAGAGGAAAGGAGAGGGAGAGAGAGATAGAAACATCAGTGATGAGAGAGAATCATCGATTGGCTGCTTCTTACATGCCTCCCACGAGAGACTGAGCCTGCAACCTGGAACGTGCCCTGGCTGGGAATCGAACTGTAACCTCCTGGTTCATAGGTCAATGCTCAACCACCGAGCCACATCAGCCAGGCATGTGTGTTTTTTTGTTTGTTTGTTTGTTTGTTTTTGCAAATCAGATTCTAGTCTTAACTCTATTTCTAACTAGTTGTATGACCTTGAAGAAAAGTTTCACCTGTGGACTTAGTACCTTCATTAGTCCAGTTAGAGTTGACCTGGGTCCCTGAGAGACTACTGAGAAGGTGAGCTTGGGTTATAAGTATTGCTGCTAGGGAGAAGGGTTTCTCCAGAGTTAAATAAACTGTTAAGGGATCAGGTTTATTTTGGTTTCAGAAGCACCATTAAGGGGTCTAATAATAAGCCCTAATGTTATGGAGTACTTAAGGGCCATATACTGTTCTGTCTTTACATGTATTAACTCATTTAATCCTCACAGTCACCTATGAGGTAGGTTCTATTAATATTAGTATTGCCTTTTCACAGATGAGGGCAGTGGAACAGAGAGGCTAAAGCAGCTTGCCCCAAGGCCACAGAAGTAATACGAGGTAGAACTAGGATTCAAACATAGCTGACTCCAGACCTGTACTCTTAACTCACTACTTAGGTTCGAAGACTTATATCATGTTTTTCAGTTAATCACTGTGTATTTTATCACTTGCTACTTGAACATATACTTCCCATAAAAGTGTAAAATACTGCCACTGCTCTAAAGCTGTTGGTCTTATTGATAGATGCACCAAGCTTTTTCATATAGAAAATAAGTTACTACATGTCTCAGCTGGCTGGTGTGGCTCAGTGAAGTGTCATCCCTTGCACCAAAAAGTGGACCATTTTGATTCCTAGTCAGGGCACATACTCAGGTTGCTGGTTCGGTCCTAGTCAAGATACACAGGGGAGGCAACCAATCCATATTTCTCTCTGACATTGATGTTTCTCTCTCTCTCTCCCCCCTCCCTTCCTCTCTCTCTAAAATCAATTAAAAAACATAAAAATTAGTTTTTGAGGTCAGTTTAGATCAGGTAAACTTGACAAGTGCATTGTTATGACTTGAAAAAGAGCTATAGTTTATTTACTTTGCACATCTATAGAAGTTCATTATATAGTTGTAAAATTGATTAAATGATAATTTTATGATTAAAAATTTTAGATATCATTATGTTGAATGCTCTAATTTTACAGATGAAAAGATAATACCAAGAAAGTAGAGCTAGCCCTAGGGGTTTGGCTCAGTGGATAGAGGGTTGGTCTGCGGACCCAGGTTCAAATCCGGCCCAGGGCACATGCCTGGGTTGTGGGCTCCATCCCCCCCAATAGGGGCATGCAGGAGGCAGCCAATCAATGATTCTCTCTCATTGATGGTTCTCTCTCTCTATTCTTCTCCCTTCCTCTCTGAAATCAATAAAAATAAATAAAAAGAAAGTGGACATTTCTGTTCTAAAACTGTATTAGGGAAAACCTACCTAAGTTAGTAAAAGGGGAGAATTTATTCTAAGAATGTAAGGATTTCTTTCACAACCCAAAGGCAGAAATAGAGCTAGGCCTAGGAACTTTAAAAATTAAGGTGTGTGTTGGGGAGCATTCCCTATCCTCTCAACTTTATTCTGAGTTGACCGTTTTTTTTTGTATTAAACATTATTTTATTAACTCAGCAAAACTAACAGCGCAAGTTTTAAAATCGGCAGTCTCCCTTCCAGTGCCCCCCCCTCACACGCGCGCGCGCAGACGCACACACGTACACTCCCCAACCTAATGATAGTTTCACATATATTTTAACTTTATGATGGTGCAAAAGTGATATCCCGAGATCTTGGTTTCTAATGCCATCCATAGAGCTCTTTGAAAAGAAACCTGATTCTAAGACTGTGTTCCTAGATTGCTTTCCTTTTCTTTGTCTCCGCCATCTTGTGCGTCCGCCTTGTGCGTCCTCTGGCGTCACCTGCGTCCCCCTTGTGCGTCCGCTGACGTCACCTGCGTCCCCCATCTTCGCCTGCGTCCCCCATCTTCGCCTGCGTCCGCCATCTTGTGCTTCTGTCCTTTGGTGCTTAGCCCAGCTTCTGCGGAGCCTGTCGCTGGGGAGACACCCATCACTAACCTAGGTGACCACGACATTGCCCCCTTCATCCTCTGTGGTGAGTCCGGTCTGCAGAACCCATGACTCAATCCCAGAGGAGAAGACCCTAGAGCGCGGGAGTGCGCCGTGCGCGGTGCGGGGTGCGCGGTGAGGGGGGACATAACTCTATGATACTCGGGCCACGTGGCAGCAGAAGTTCCAGTTCCAGTTAGACACAGTGCATGCCTTTCTCTTTTTCCTTTAATTTCTCTCTTCTAAATCTTTGACGAAAGAGTGTTCATCTTGATTCATTTTCCCCACCTGGTCAGGGTTGGATCACAGGGTGGAAACCTGTCTGCTGGGAACCCTCGGTCGGTGGGCTGTGGGTGCCCAGAGGAGAGTGGGTACTGAGTTTACATATTTAGGATAAAATTTTGACTCACAGATTACCAATCCTCCCCTCTTTTTTTTTTTTTGCTTCTTTGCCGTATGATGTTTCCATCATAGTGTATCTGGAACCTAGATTTTTTTTTTTTTTTTGAGAAAGCATAATCTGCCGCTCTCAAGATCGCACCTGAGGATATATTTTATTATTGATTTTAGAGAGAAAGGAAAGGAGATAGAAACATAGATGAAAGAGAAACATGGATGGGTTACTTCCTGTACACACCCTGACCGGGGATCAAACCTGCAACCTAGCCCTAGCTGCTTTGGCTCAGTGGCTAGAGCACCGGCCTGTGGAGCGAAGGGTCCCAGGATCGATTCTGGTCAGGGGTTGCGGGCTCAGTCCCTAGCAGGGGCGTGCAGGAGGCAGTAGATCAATGATTCTCTCTCCCTTTCCCTTCCTCTCTGAAATCAATAAAAATAAAATAATTAAAAAAACAATAAACACCCTGCAACCTAGGTATGTGCCCTGATGGGAATTAAACCGGCAACTTTTTGGTGTATGGGACAATGCTCCAACCGAGCCACCCGCTGCATAGTATCTCTTTTTAAAAATTTCCTTTAGATGGAACTTTTTTTCAGAAAGGTGAATATTAGCTGTTTGAGACCTTATAAGATGATAATAATTGTTGAATAGAGAGTTACTTTGACAAGAAGTGAAATATATGGTTTTAAGCACTGTTGAAATAGATTAATGAAACACAAAGCAGTCTACTCTTAAATCTCCATTAAATGTGACCAATACATCTTGATGAGTCAGAGTAATAATTGGTATCCATAATGATGCTGAGAAAGATAATGAAATATTAAACTTTTCATCCAGTTTAATTTCTTTATTCTAATTATTTTGGAAATTGATAATCAGTGTGATGTTGATAGCCAGAATGTGTGATTATTCAGACACTACCTTTTTTTCCTGGTACTCATTTGTGTGCAATGCCTCATATCACTTAGAAAATTCTAAGCTCATTAAATTTTATCTTTAAAAACGGTTTTGGGGGGAAAGTCCCATAGTTTACTTTAATCTTTAGTGTGTTAGTAAAGTAGTTCTCCGAAGGGTCTAAAATATTTCATACTATTTTCCAAATTATAGATAGCTCTCTTGTGCTTTACTTTTCCAGAATGAAAGTATATAGCTTTTGGATTAATGAAGTACTAATAAAAATTTTGATATTCTATCTTGTGAATACTTTGCTGTCTTAAGTAAGTGAACATATGATGTGGTACAATCCATAAGACTTCAAGGTAACTTAGAGACAAATGGGGACAAAGAGGCACCTAGAATGCCTCTTGATAAGATGGGAAATACAAAAGAACTGGTTGGGGGAAGATATACTTATGATTCTGTTTAGAAATGATTTTGAGATCCCTGTGGGGATCCAGAAGTGACAGGCGATCTGCTATCTAGAGTACTGGTATGAGGATGGAGATTGTCAAGATAATAGTAAAGAAAGGTATTAGTGAAAGCTATGGGTTTAGGTGAGATCACGTAGGGAGACAGTGCTTAGATGAGATGAAAAAAAAAGGTGCAAGCCCTAGCTGGTTTCGCTCAGTGGATAGAGCCTGTGTACTGAAAGTTCCCAGGTTCGATTCTGGTTAAGGGCACATGCCCGGGTTGTGGGCTCAATCCCCAGTGTGGGGCATGCAGGAAGCCGACGACCGATGATTCTCTCTCATCATGGATGTTTCTCTCTCTCTCTCTCTCTCTCTCTCTCTCTCTCTCTCTCCTTTCTCTCTGAAATCAACAAAAATATATTTAAAGAAAAAGAAAAAAGAAAAGCTGCAAGAACAGAATCCTAGGGAACACCAGTGATTAAGGAGTAGCTCAAGGAACATGAACTTAGAAAAGACAGAAATAAGCAGCCCAAGAATAGGAAAAGAATCAGGAAAATAGTGTCAGGCCAGTGTGCTCAGTGGTTAAGCATTAACCTATATACCAAGAAGTCACTGGTTCAGATTCCCTGTCAGGACACATGCCCAGGTTGCAGGCTTGATCGCCATATGGGGAGGAGGGGTAGCATGCAGGAGGCAGCCCATCAGTGTTTCTCTCATCAGTGTTTCTATCACTTCCTCTCCCTTCCTCTCTCTAAAAAGTCAATTATAACATTTAAAAAAATAGTGTCATGAAGCCGAGTGATGAGCTATGCTATGTTGCAGAAGGTTTCTGAGATAATAGGGACTGGGATATAACTACTGAATTTGGCAATTAAGGATTTTTTTTAGATAAAAAAAATGGACTTTTACAAAAACAATAATACACTTTCATTGCAGATAGATTAAAAAACAAATTAGCGCCCTGACTGGTTTGGCTCTGTGGATAGAGCATTTTTGGCTTAGTGGATAGAGCGTCGGCCTGCGGACTGAAGGGTCCCAGGTTCGACCCCGGTCAAGGGCATGTACCTTGGTTTCGTGCACATCCCCAGTAAGGGGTGTGCAGGAGGCAGCTGATCGATGTTTCTCTCCCATCGATGTTTCTAACTCTCTATCCCTCTCCCTTCCTCTCTGTAAAAAAGTCAATAAAGTATATTTACAAAAAACCAAATTAGCGAAAAGAGGGGGAAAAGGTAAAACTTCCTGATACTCTTCTATCCCAAGATAACCATTTTTAAAAAACGGGATTTAAAAAAAAATCCTCACCCAAGGATATTTTTCTATTGATTTTTAAGAGAGAGTGGAAGAGAGAGGGAAAGACAGAAACATCAGTGTGAAAGAAACACATCGATTGGTTGCCTCCTGCAAGTGCCTTGATCAGGGCCTGGGCTGGGGAGGAGCTTGCAACCAAGGTTTGTGCCCTTGACCTGAATTGAACCCAAAACCCTTTGGTCTGCAGGCCGATGCTCTATCCACTGAGCCAATCCAGTTAGGGCCAAGGTAACTATTTTTTAACCATTTGTGTATATGATTCTTTCAGCC